GAGAAACTTGGGTTGAACTTTTCCCGTTCATCAGGCCCTAAGGGCGTCCAAATGATACCTGAAACTTATTGACAGCGCAACTTCAAAAGTTGAATTCTACTACAAATGTAAAGAGTCTGCTTGAATCACATACCAGGTCGGATGCTATTACTTTGAGAACGTTTCACCTTCTGCCCGAACATGTATATAAGGGAAATCTTCATTCCTATACAATCTAGATGCAAAAAAACATGAAACGTAAATATTTGAAATTGTTACTTCAAATCTTTGCACGTTTCTGGTACTTGATGGAGAGATAATTTATTTAGCAGGTTGTAATCAATAATCTCTTTAATTAGGCAACACCTAGCGGTTGGAAAAACAGGATCGGCCAAATATTATCGTTGGCGTCGTGGAAACTAGACGCCTGTCATGCCTATGCCGGAGCTAACATGATACGATTTTTGTTTTACTGTTCCTCGAAACTGATTTCAAGACCAACAACCACTGGGTTGTTAAACCCGATTCCTTAAAGTAGTTGCATTTCGTAAAGGTAACTGTTTTAGTTTATTTCTTATTGCAGCTCAAAGTTTTACTATTCTATTGGATTTAATTATAAGCTACTAACCATTACAAATACTTGTATTATTTGTTTAATTATTATCTAAACACGCTTCGATATTATTATTACCTAGTAGTATACAACCTTCTTGAATATTTTGCATTATGTTATTTTAGAAAAATATAAACATCTCTCAATAGTCGTATTCCAGCAAGCAAGCAAGATGTCAGAGTATATATATCTTAATAATAACTAAGTATATATATATATATATATATATATATATATATATATATATATATATATTTTAATAATAGATTCAATCAAACAACGTTCTATAAAGAGAGTCGACAGTTTACATTAATGGTAGCTATAATGAAATTGTGATTAATTAACGAAACCTGGCCATCGTTTACCTTTTCTCTTTTGTGATGAGGTATGTTATTGCGCTGCTGATAACCTCAGTGGTCAGGAACGATATCGGATAGTTCCTGTAATAGTTTAACGATAAGGCAAATGTCAACGTAAACTGAGATGATCTGAACTTCGTTAGACAACAAAATCCAAGCAACATGTCTTCGGCAATAAATAAAATAGAAAAAAAAAAAAGCAGCAGCAATCAATTGCTCGATGTCCACCAAAGATATGCAAAGAAGGGAACACCTATTCTCGGTAGAATTCGATCAGACTATATACAGATTCTATTTACCTAATTAACTTAACCATTAAAACAAAATCGGCAATTTGTATTCTGGTAAACAACTTAACAACGTAAACTCCACGAAAAATAAATGGCTCGGCTAACGAAAGCGCTCAGATGTAATATTCTCTATATCAAAATCGAAATTATCTATTTGTTTAGCTCTCTCTGATGAATTCGTCAGATTAGGCGTTTATCAACTGAATATATTCTCCGTGTCGTATATTTTCCCTCACCGTGACTTCATCTCCGTTGAAAATTCGCTGCCGAACGTATTGCACGGGCGGAAAGGCTCTTTGTTTTGTCAAGGCCCTGTATACCTCGTCCGTGTCAAATTGTCCTCGTCATCTGCAAATCTGTGTATTCATCAATATACAGTAGCTACTGCATTCTACGTGATCAGCAGGCTTCATGACGGATCCAAAAAGTGGGCGCTGGCGCCCAAGTGCCTACTTGCATTTCAACTTTTCCATTGGGTCTCTGTTTGGAATCTTGGTGGGCCGGCTGAGTTCGAGCAGAATTTAAAACGCCTGTGTGAAGGACGACAGAAAAAAGCACCTTTAACTGCATATATAATCTCACATAGTCTATCAACAATACGGCGCCAGGCAAGATGGAGTGCAAGGCGTTACCCAGGCCCGGACCACGAACAGGTTGTATGACCAGCGCCGAAAGACGTGATTCAAAGGCAAAATATGTTTACTCGTCTACCAGGCACTATTGATAGTAGTTAGTAGTCGTAATTTCTTTCGACACGAACGGGCATCCATGAGAAAGCATCTCGCATGACAGAGAAACGTTGGATGCACATATATCTCTCATTTACATTATATATATATATATATATATGTACATAGTACTCGATCAGTTTTGTCAATGCACTATTTGAATATAATAAAATCCATGCAATTATTATGTCCAGCTTAGATAATAACACTGTAATTGTTCGTAAATATACCTATATTAAAAAGTGTGCGAGCACTCTGTTCCGGTGATTGAAGTCTTCAGGGATTACGAACCTGAATATGGTAGTAAGCAATTTCATAAAAACGACGATAGGCCAATGTGCAAAGTTACCAAGGGCGAAGAGGAGAAGATTCCGCACACAGTGTTCCAAGTGATATGCTTAAAAGTTCCCCTTTTCCACTGTTTTTCATGATGGTCATTCATCAGTGAACCTAACCTCCTATGCTATACCACGTTGCACCTACAGAGTCGAGGTCACCATAGTCCAAAGCCTGCCTCCAGTTCGTGAGTACAGCGAGGTTTCGTAAGAGCAGATTTACAGCCACCTAATTCCAATTTCCTGATCTTATTTTGCCACGCCCTAAAGCCTAATTTCCTGACTAGTGAAATGTCGTGCCCAGATGGTTTCCGATCGAGTCTTATGTATGCATCAGTCTGTCTAACGTCCACCCACATAAAGATCTGCTTCGCTCACTTTACGAGGAGACGAAGGGAAAGATAAAGACAGAACCTCGAACCCACCGAAGTTCACCATACAAATAGTGAAATACATGCACACACACACACACACCCTTAGAACAACGAAGTCAAGAGTATTCACAAAGTATTAATCATACCACATACATACTACATACATACAAGGGCAAAGCGATAGTTTTCTTGTAGATCACCTCAATGTTGGCAGAGAGTTTGGAGGGCCTGCAAGTGTTCGCATCCTATATATGAATCTGGGACTAGCCAACGTCTGAAATTTCCTTTAATGTCCGTGAAGGTCTGCATTGTAATATATAGATATATATATATATATATATATATATAGAAAACGCCTAAATGTGTGTATGTGGGTCACACGGAAAATGCTCGTAACAATTGCTGTATCATCACTGGATCAGACGAAAGGTTCAAATAAAGAAATTTACCAGTGTACCTGTATTGTCATTCTCAGAATAGTTATACGCCGAAGCATTATAGAGAACCCCGGGGATTAGAAGACAGGCAGTCTTTAACCAGCTAAAGCAAATTGGGTCGCTCGATTATTAGGGTACTTTGCTGACGACCCAAGGGAAAATAAAGGGTTGAGAATTTATAGAACTTCAAGAGTGTGTCCACGTTGATCGATTGTTCGCACGTGGATCCAGCGCCTTGCTTAACTGATCCGAAAAAGCATGACTTCACTAGCAAGATCAGCCTTCATCTACTCGACGTGTCGTCACATATAGATGATGCGGAAAGTTTTATAGAACTGCCACTGTTATTATGAGATGGAGTAAGCATCTATTTTTACAACGAATAGGTGCAATAGAGTGAAAAATATGTCACCACTTTTTATAATAATGGCTATATTATCCTTGGTTCATTGAAAAATCTTTAAGTAAAGCACTGCATTGATCCGATTTATAAGATTTTTTTTAAGATTTTTTTAAGATTTATATTTATAAGATTTATAAGAAGATAAAAATAGTAATTTTCCGTAAGTACATATTTCTTTAATGACTCATCGAAGACATGCCGAAGGACGCTTTTATTTGAAGTAATTGCTATTTACTTTGATAACTTCTCTGATTCGTGTTTACAACTAGACGCAAATGGTCTTAACAAATACGTTTTATAAATTTGTACTAGGGTCGTAAGTGATGCACTGTTTGTATTGCTAGAAGCATTTCTGCGATCTTTAAAAAAGCGTAAAAATGCTAACTAAGACGTAAAGCTTTTTTGGCTTTCTGACTTTTCATAGATCGGCTGCACTGGCGTATAGGAAGCCCCCTATCACAAAGGAAAAGGTCACATAACGACACTGCGCCGACTCCCGAATTCTACTAACGAAGGCAATTTACGTATGGCACTTGAGGAGTAAACTGTTTTCGGATCGCATTTGGATTTGAGACAATCCGTAATAGAAACTTTACGATTAGGTCATTGATACGGCGGAACTTCGATGCACTTGCCCACATTCTCGGCTAAATAACCCGTGTAACGTTTTTAGATAGGTTTTTTCAGCTAGCAAAAAAGAAGGTTACAATGATTGTTTAAGTTGATGATAAATGGATGATAAATGGAAGATAAAACGCACTTCGATCGATCTCGATACGATAGATTTAATGGTTTCCATTTAGCTTGAGCCATAATTTTTTGATGATTTACGTAACGCTTTCGCTCGCCGGAACATTTTTTCTACTTGGAATTTCTCGTATGTTTAAGATATGCAAAGTGAATAAGCGACAATATTTGCTCAACGAATAAATACGGAAATTTAAATTTTCAAGTTACGCAGATATATTCTATTAGGATCTATCTGGAAAACAAACTACCGTCCGACATCGTTTAAAGGCAGCTTGATCAACTGAGCCCGTAGATGACAAATCAACAAATCGATATTATCGTAAGCGACGATCTATTTTTGTTGTGGTATCTCTAATTATTGATGTGATAGTACATGTAGATTATAGTGGAAAGATAGAAAAGCCGATAGGTCCGCGAGAACGGGATATCCCAGGCTGGCAAGTGGCGCTCCGTCGCTCCTTGAAAAGACGATGAAGGCAAAGTTGTCGGCGATAAAGCCCGCCGGTGCCGACAATGAGAGCAGGCGAAATTGCTCAGTGCAGAATATGCATATATTTATGTGCTTGTCCTCAAGTACCATTATGTGTACCGACTTCGAAAAGTGGCATTAACAGATCTTAGGTTCGCCCAAAATGTCCACAAGTCGAGCTGTTGTTACTGTTGCCCACCTTCATGCCTATGCTAGAAATGACGGGAAAATACCAGGCGCTATCTCGTTATTTTGTTCTTTTCAGACAGGAAGCGGTGATAGTTGATGTAGATTGCCGCCCTTACCAGCGCCCCCATTTCGCTTTTTATTTCGTGCCTGAAATAATGACCGAAAAAAACAAACGATCCTTGTCTCACGCAAAAAATTATTATCATTGACATCATCGCTTAAGCGCAGCGATACGATAACTGCCCAGGGTGAGCGGTACGGGTCAATGGATAAAGAAAGCTCGTCGCTTCTTGACCCATTTAACACAGCCTTGACCACCCTCAGGACAACAACGTTCTGAATAGTGTTATTGCGCAGTTCGACAAATGGTGACTGTGTCTTAAGTTTTAAAGGTAGAAAAATTTTAGGCCACATAGAAAAAAAAATGGTTAAATATGCAGCAGACAATAAATACTACACAGAATAAAGAAAGCTATATAGAGGAAGTGTTAACGTAAGCGATCTAAAGACTTTTGTGTGTTCTAGAAACAATTTTCTCTGCCGCAATCTATTACTGTGGATCATTGAGAAGATTAGCGTGAATTCCGCTTAGAGGTCGCTGAAGTTATCCAATAATGCCACAAAACAGATGCAGTCAAATAAAATCATGTAGGCCCCATTTGGAGTCAGTGATACAGCTTAGACTGGGATTAGCTCGTTGTTTTAATTGTTAACTGAACTTTCCTTGAATATCACGGAACAGTGTGTCCTCTCTATGTATATAAATGCTGGCAGAGGTAAAAAAGCGTGGGCCTATTTCGTTCCCAAAGGCTGTAGGGGTATGCTTAGGTTCATCGGCCACTGATATGCACATATTGTTCTTTGCTGCTATACTGAACCAGGCTGTGTCTAGAAATGATAGAACTAGAGTTCGAGTCGTTTCTAATGGTCTAGATAAGCTTAACGGCAATACCGCACGTAAAACTCGGAACAGAGGGGGTGTAGAAAAGGCTTTTGAAAATGCGAGACATTTGTTAGGCTGGACACGTGTGAAAATAACGCTGTCTGTTGGGTGTAAACTTTCATTTTGAATCAAATCAATCAAGGCGGAACATGATGTGATTATAATGCTCGAGTAAGTTGTTAACAGTAAAAAACGTACGAAAAGAAGTACGCCTTTGAACTGGTTAAAGCTAATGTACAAGAGGAAGTGGACTAAATAGATCGAAGAGAAAACGAACGCGAACCATCTGTGTGGGTTACTGTATATTTAATTGATTCAGTTTAGCATATTATAGTAATATAGCAATAGGCAAACGTTTTGTTAGCTGTTGACAGAATAGTATGCAGGGCTTTGGTATAAAAGTTCAGCTTGTACGGGGGACAGTAGATTATTACTTTATTTTGTCGCCCGTTTGCGATGTCGTTTAACTGCTGACTCTACAATAGACAAATGAACGACTAATTTCCATCGTCCAATAGTGGCGGTAGTGTCCCGTTTGCTAAAGTGTTGCGTAACAATATTTCAATAATGTTTCCTGGGTAACAATAGGGGAATTCCTCTATCCGTGCCTTTGCTCCGCTCTCTGAGAATGCTGAGAAAGGTAACATGTCAATGCAAGTCTCAGTTCCCTACAGCCGTACATCATATGCGAATTATTATGTACGCCGACGATGTCAGCTGTTCTAAAATAAACGAAAGTATCGCTTGTCGCTGGGGGAAAAACGTGGGACATCGACCCCGCCAAATAGAACACGATAACAGTTAATCGATTGTGTCGAACATGGGTCTTCTAGAAGTGAGTCAATGACTGATTACCATCGGGTAGTCTATAGACCCCAGTCGTCGAAAGCTGTTATGAAAGATGTATTAGAAAGAGGATATTGAACGGAAGGTCTAGTACCACAGGATACGACGAATACAACGTACGGGGCCCAGTAAGCGACACTTACATCTTTTAGTTAGCTATTTCCGCGTTATGCCTTAATTTGTAACTTGTAACAAAGCATGAAATTGTATCGGGCTTAGAATAGCTAGGCTACGAGTACTACGAAACGCGTCTGCTAAATTAGGAACACTTAACTCAAAATTCAAACAATTACGTTCAAAGCACGATCCGAAAAGAAGTGATGCCGACTGTTTGCGTTTTGGGAACACCTTGGGAAGTCCTCCGTCTGCTTTGTTGTCAATCGTCAAGCGGCTTCCGAGGGGTGCGGCAGAGATCTCTACGCACTGGTGCCAATGATTCATAATGAAAAAAAGACATATCTTGGCGAATCGGTACGATGATTAAAAATTTAGCCGCTGTTTCTAGAAGACGCGTGTATCTACTCCCACACTTCGTAGGGACTTCAGGTACATTTCTTGTGTCATGGAAGTTAGATATTCCCCGAAAACCCTTAAGCTTTTCTAAAATTGTTATCATTTTGAAGCACGAAGCGTCTGGTTGACCGTATTGGTACTCGGGTAAAAAAGTTCTTACCTTTGTAGGTGTAGTAAGTGTAAAGAAAATTGTAGGAATGGTGACCGGCGGCCTACCCAACACCTCGGCAATGTTTCTGTCGTGGCGACTACGTTATCTGTGCAACTAAAAAACACGACCTTTAATGGCAGTGTTGTTCAAGAAACAAGGCCACAATCAAACGGTGGAACTCAACCAGATTTTCATCTGCACGTAGACAAGATCGGAAAACTATATCACAGAATTATTTTATCTAGACTGGCGTATCAACTCATATCCGAAGCCAAGAGACCCTTCAAAGACATAGTGGCTTAGATTTAGAAGCACTATGCAGAGCGTGAATTAACAATTCCCGATAGAAAAAGCTTCGTATCATTAGTTGTCGAGTTAAAAAATATTTGCAAGTCTATATCCCTAAACGAAGATATATAAATAAACACAAGTATTTTTTGTTTATGTGAAAAAAGATATGTGGCATTTTCAAAAATAAACAAGATCGTTTCTTAAAATATCACAGTCGAAATAATAGAAAAAACAAAAATAACCAATAATTATGACGGATTGGAGTTATTACTCATGAAAAACGAGATGATTTAGCAATGTCTATTCGGTGTATGTTTTTTTGGTTTTTCTGGTGTGGCGTCAATTCTAACGGATTTAATTTCACTCCAAACTCATTTTCACTAGATGAATTGACGGAAATTTCATATTTAATTCTCTGTTTTTGTGTCTGTCAGTGCGGTGTCTCATGTCGCGATGTAAACGTCGCGTTGACGCGGGCCAATCGAGCTTCATAGCTGTGGGCAGAGATGTACTAATTGAAGTTAGGTCGAATTTTTTTAACGCAAACCAACCTAGCAGACAAAATAAAATTAATTAATCGACAAATTATTTGATCTCATTATTGTAAATAGGATGGATGGCTACGTCGTGTTTAAAAAATCGTTGCACTATTATATTTCCTTGGCTAATATCCAAGTAGTCTAAATAACTACGTATTCTAGCTTCTCTATGCACGAGTGACTATATATATGTATATATATAGTCACTCGTGCATAGACAACCTATCATATACATATAGTTAACGTACCGACACTGAGCGAAGACGCATCGTTGGATGCATACCATTCTGTGCATGGTCCGCTTCACAGCACACATGTGTAGCATCTAGTCATGTAGGGAATACTTTTAAAATCGAAGCAACAATGCCCGCAGTCTAATACTTATCATAACATGTTTACTTATCGTCCCTGCAAAGACATACAATGACTGACGACACTGTATGTTTCGCCCCTCTGTTCATAGATAGAGCTATTGTCGTCCAGCGCCAATGGCCAGCTGCCAGCGGAGTTCTCACTGGCGAAAGACAAGAACAGTTGGTTTTAAATGCTGTGGAACAATTTCTCACGGTACAAACGGCCCGTTCGAAAGTTTCCTGTCAACTACTTTAACATGCCATGGCTCTCTATGTACTCACGTCGTTCCCCTTTGCCTTCCGTTTGTTAGACGTTCATTGGAAATGCAGAACTTAACAGGGCTGTTGTCGTTGTCTCTTATCATGTCTTAATTAGGATTGGTCGAGTTTTACCATGATCGCGTGGTACAACTCGCTTGTACGGGCACGAACATGTCTGACACAAACCGGACAAATAAAGGCAGGCCGACGAGGCGAAATAGACGGAGCTAGCTGTGCTGCAATATTAGAGACGGCCATATGAATGACGGAGCATCCAATCCAACAGAAACGGAGGCGGAGGGGGCACAATCGGACACGTTCGTGCGAGAGACGGAGATCTTCTGTTCAAGCTAGCGGGGAGACTAAATCGAGGAGCAAGGAAGACGGCTGGTACTTCTGGCAACTTATAGTGAACCTCATATTACCGTGTGGTATGAATAGGACGAGATTAAGCGGAGCGATGCGTATTCGATTCGAAACCGTGGTACATTCACCACTGCCTTCATAGGAACTTTCCGACGCGATTTCTATTTAAGTGATGCTCGAAATGTTTAGGGTAAGTCAAAGTATAATTTCTATCGTTATTTTATAGCGATGGGAGTATTAGCAGGCATCCAGCGAAGTAAATATGCGTATTTGACGCATTAATAAAAGCCTAATTCTATCTTCGTTACGTCAGTTTTGCCTTTACAAATGTCGTTCCTTGTCGTTTTATAGCACACGGTGATTATTGATGTGGTTAAAGTTTAAGCACTTTATTTCCAGAAACTATTCTGTATATCATCAACAGAATGCACTGGAAACGATCAGGTATCTAAGTAGGTTAGATCCCAGTTCCAACTCTATTTTTTCCTTCATATATATTGTGAGCACGACTTCGCTTTTGGCATGACGCTATCCTAAATTATTATTTCAGTATCGTGATATCAGTTCAATACTTAGTTGCATTCTATCAACTTAACTATTAGTGGCAACCAGCTTCTAACGCTGGCTAATCAGAATGCTTTCTTAAATCAAAGAAACTACGTTTACAGCTGCCGATCTGAATCCATTTGAATAAAAAAAGGACCAGGGCCGGCTTTGTTAAATTTAGAAAATCACTATGCATACACTGGCCATGAGACTGGTCCAAATATTCAAAAATAAATGGGTCAGTAATTCGTGCAGAGTCGATTATAGCAGCATACTGTTGGTTACATAGTGGCTACTTCGATCCTCTAATGGGAAATATATTTACACTTATATGGTATTTGACAACAGTAAATTTACAGTCTTTCAGAATATATCTCTGCCTAGCTTAGTGAGGAAGACTAATGGCTGCTTCGGAACTGAAATTAACCTCCTGGAATGGCTTCTTCGTGACAGTTTTTCCACTAGTAAATTTGGACTCGAACCCACAGAAGCGACAACAAAATGGCAGAGTTAAGTTCCGTCGTTGAAAACTCCCAAAAGCAAGGCTGACTGTAAAAAAGACGAAGATACGAAAAATGCTGTCTTCAAAGATGCAAATACCCGTCACCTTCAGTGGCCTTTCTCCCAAAGTCTTCTTTTCCTCTGCTTTACTGTTGTTCCATTATGATTCAGGCTACTTTCTGTTTCTCTAACTCTAATCATATAATGATGCTGTCAGGATATATCGTGCGGAGGTTTTGCCCTTTTTCAACCTTCATGCGTTTTTCTAACCCGTACACGTTTTCAACCGACCGGCCGGTGGTCCTCGTGGTCCCTTCGTTTGAGTCCGCTTTTTCTTGTCTTTTCGCGAACTTGGCGCGTAAGTCCATTAGATGGACCGTATAGCAGTGCCAGGCTACGACGAAGGAGTGCGAGTTGAAAAGGAGCCGATCGCTAGCTACGTTGGTACCGCTCGTCCTACGTTAGCAGACCCCCTCTCAAGTCGCTTGGAGTGCGTAAGTCGACACGAAGCCTGAAGCCTCGATAAAGGCTGCCTGACTGCCGCTGCTCTGGCTCGGCGGACGCCATCAGCTCTCGACAGAATCGGCCACTTGGCCAACGGGCTCTACAGTGTCGAAGCTCAGGGAAGAGTCCTGGATTGCTGACGCTAGGTTAGCAGTGCCTGGCCGGCCGGTCCCTTGTTCGTTCGTTCGTTCACGGACGTTCCTGGTACTGTGCGTGGTGTAGAAAGAACAAGATGTATTGCTTTTTCTATATCTCCTTTTCACTCTGGCTGACGTGAGCTTACTTGGCCTGCCGTATCTATCATCCCCCACTGCCGCTGTCTCCGTCGAGGCAGGCCAAGCCAAAGCTAGCCAATTCGCACCCATTTCCCTTTGGCATCCCCCTGGCGGCCAGCACGAAAAAAACTAGCTGGCAGCGGCAACATCAGAAGGCTCCTATGGGCAAACGCTTCCCCATAAATGACGTTGGTTGGTTGTTGTGCGAAGTCGAATAACGGAATCTAGCCATTCGTAAAGCTTTTGCTAGCTGTCGCGGGGTCTGCAACGCGCACTTGTTAGAGTAGTGGACATCAGAGCTGGAAAGGGATAAGAAAGCGGGCGCTGATGGGGCTTTTGTGGGGGTTGAAGTTCAGAGCTGCCGCAGCCTTCTCAGACACCGCTGGTGCCGCGGTCCTGTGGCCTTCTTTATTGCGCTGCAGCTATAGTAGTTGTAACCCGTGGCAACATATAGCACTAAAAGGCAGGCTGGCCGGCTACCCATGCGGCATTGAACGAGTATACGTGTATGATGATGATGGTGGTAGAACGAAGAGCGAAGTGGCCTGTCTCTCGGCGTTTCGTCAGGACGCTCGAGACTTCTCCCCGCTCGTCCGCCCACCGTGCGATAGTGCGCGCTAAGAAGCCGCTCAGAAAAAGCTTCTTGTTGCCTTCTTCTCAATGGTTCGCCTGTCCTTGCTTATCGCCCCTTTCTCGTCCAGTCTCTTTAAGCGGCTTACTCAGACCGGATGCACTCGTTGAAGATGTGGAGGGGCCAGCGACTAACATCTAACGCAATTCAGTGGGGCAAACGGCAGGCAGATGCTTTCAACTGCTCTACCACGAATTACCATGGGAAAGCTACACTACCGGCGAAGTCGCTTTTTACACCCTGGGGCGCTACTTGAGTGAAATAGCGGACGGTAGAAGGCAACGAAAAACTGTTACAACACTCTATAACAATAACTTGTGTAAGTCGTGTATATAGACTTTATGGGCGGGAAATTAATCTTGGCGTCGATTCATCCTGTCAAATTGTTGTTTTACGCCGAGGGTTCGTGAAGGCTTACTTCCCATCAGTTTAAAAATGAAGAGATACACAGATAGAAAGCATCGAGGTAGTATGAGTGAATGCATGAATGAAAGACCAGGTGACTACGATGTCCTGGTAGAAAGGCACCATAGTAGGACACTTATTTTATCTCTTTTGCCTAGTCACTTTCGATCTGTACAGTGTTTTTCGCTATCTATATCGTTCTCCTGATCTTTTCTAGCTCGGATTTTTATTGCTGCATAAATAGTAGAATAATAATGATATGCAAAGCGTTATAAACTTTTCATTGGGCGAGGAACTTTTCAAGGGAGAAAAAGGACAGATTCATAGTTAAAGGGCAGGATGCACGCACATACAAAATAAACGAGACATGACGCCCAGCTATAAATTAGCCTTCGGTGGTTTATAATTATATATAGTATATATAGAGTGGTTCCGTTGTTTTCGTCAAATCGATACATCTTATCGTCCACAACAGCTGTTGGCGGAAAACTCGCATTTGAAACGCAGCTGTGTATTGTATTCTACCAACTGTATCTTTATGAACCGCTGATAACGTTCACGAAGATTATCATCGGTGAATTGGCATGTACATGCATACTCTGAATATCACCGATAGACTATCGACTTCTAGATACATA